TGGTTTATACATTCGTAAGTTCTGAAAGCAAAAAACAGTCCATATTTTTCTCGTGGTAAACAAACTAACTATTCAAATAGAAAAATCAATAAGTGGTGTAGTGAACGGGATGTTGGGGATGTTAGATCCCCAGAACTCACTTGAGAAAGGACCAAATTTTGTAATTTTATCTAGAAAATTTGAATTTCTTTGTTTTCGCGCCAAAGGTGTTCTTGTCACCTTCATGTGTTTGTTGTTATCGCTCGTTTCTGGCTGTTTTGCAGAATATACTTCCCATTCCAAGCTTGGACTTCTCCCTCTAGTTAGCGGGGCTGAGACGCATCAATAGCTAGCTTACTGGTCTTTGGTCACCGAGTCTTGTTCTCGTTCTCAGATTAAGTGAACTCGTGATAGCTTCAAACCTAGCACGGGAACACAGGAGGGGACAACCAAATATACCATAATCCAACATCACAGAATGTCTTGGTAAAATCTAAGAACCATATAGTGAATACTTCATTTGCGAAATATCCATCAATTGTCTTAGACTTTGTTATTCCTTCGTTTCAGTACCAATCACTCTCAGTTCTCATTGTCTTCTCTTCGATGATCTCATTTTTTTTCGTTAAACATTCCATTTTCGTTTGGTGACATATACTACTTATATTTGTCAACATCAGTAGCACACATCACAGTAGTATTGCGGAAAGAGAAAATTTAAGCAGTGAAAGTAAATTGAAATATGAACATATAGATTAGTATAAAAATAAAGAGACGAACTGAATTGAACAGAAATCATTTCGATAACAATGTTGATTATTTTTTCCATCTACCTAGTTGCCTATTATTTAATTAGAAATCAGTAATACCAAGAGATTATGCTTAGCCTATGATTATGAGAAAATGATAATAAAAATATAGTATCCTATAGAAACTTTATTCAACCAACAATTTCCACAGATTTTCTATTGAAGTCCCAAAGTGTTCCACAGATACAAAAGTTATTTCTTTGGAAAAAATCTACATATGCCAGTTCATTTAAGATTATATGATGAAAGCTGGTAATAATTAGTGTACTCTAAGATAATGAATGAGAGACCATTAATTTCTAGATTCTATCAAATAAGTAGATTGATTAATTTTTAAAATTACGGAAAAGATAATACAAAATATTTTATTAAAGTCATTATTGTACATTCAAATGAATGTAAAATATTGTGTTCAAGATGATGGTGTGGATGCCCGTTATTTAATCGTTATTTAGATCGGATGATGTTGTCGAAAGGGCTCTCCACTTTGGTAGCCCGAGATCTGACTCCAAAGAGATTGTAATGATGATTGTTGTTGAAATATATATATATGTCGCTTATCCTCGTATATAATCATCGACTTAAATCACGTTAGTCAATAACCGAATTAAATAAGTCAAATAATGAGAATGAACTTTTGAATACACAGATTTTGTATATAAAGCGAATGGAATAGAGAGAAGAGAAACGAAGCAGAGTGGAGATGGCTGGTAAGCCATGGTCAGAATGTGACTCTAGTAGATTGAATAGAATGGGCTTCCTGAAATCTAGAATAAGGTCAGTCAGTCAGCTACAACGTAGGACTACGCATATATATGCATCGGTCCAAGTTGCCATACCTCATTAATACAACAAGATAGACACCGGATTCATATAAGTGGTTAATTCAGAGGTGGTAATATATAAAAGAAAGATTGCTATAAGGATATAATACAGGAAGAAAGAATTAGTTCGTAGAAAGAAAGATATGAAGCAATTTTAATCTCTTAGTTTAAGAGAAGATAGAGAGTGTATACACCGACGCCATTGTGACCGATTCTGAGCCATGTTACCAAGAGTCTCCAACCATTGATTACCATAGTCGAGCAGACCCCTAATAAGGTATATGGGCTTAACATAATAACCGACACTACAATGATAACTGTTTTAACTTTACATTCCATACTATTAGTGCTCATTTAATTGTATTCAGTAATAATTGAATAAATAACTTTTAGATAAATTTAAACAATACAAACGTCTTTTGGAATTAGTAATGTTAAATTCATTGAGGGACAATTTTTATTATAACAGATATTCATTCATTTTTAACTTTCATGTAACTGGTTATATATTTTATTGAAGGAAGACAGAAGTGGAGAAGACTAATTTATTGTTTAGTGCATAATTACAGAGTACCTTCAAAAACAAAATATGAAAACTATATATGAAATGCATCATTTGCATAACTTCTTCTTCCTTCATTTCTGTTATTATCTAAATCTTCCTCAGTTTCCTTCTTTCTTCTTTTTCATTTTAATCTTAACTTTGTGCTCATAGGTATTTCATTTCTGATTGGCGATACATACTACTTATATCTGTAAACATAAATAATATACACCATAATATATTTCATAATAAACTATATTTTCATTAATCATTTAATCAATATGATAAATTTGAACTAAAATAAAGTAACAATGATCAAGTGTCTAATCTGTACGATTCATCGAAATGTGTGTATTACAATTCTTTTCTACTGTAATTATTTGTGATTTTGGCGTTTTCCGTCTCATGTTATTATCAGTGAATATCGAAGGATACCCGTTTTTGATAAGTATCTCTATTAAGAGGCCCAATTCTTCATTACTCTATAGCAAAGTGTCTGGCAAATCTCCTAGAACCCGTTAGAAAAGGCATTTGTAAACATTCCGTACGTGATACTTTTGAATTTATTGAGCACATAAAAGAAGTGAATGTAAGTGACAAAATTATGCTATCTCTGAATGTCGAATCATTATTGTTATGACATTAAGTTGGTCGATTTTTACCCTGTGCTAATTGTTGTGTCCTTGACTGGAAAATTAGAGAGCAGCGTACTTATCGATCGATTACAGTGACACGTAAACACGAACGGACGGCCTAGAGTCTCGATTGGTCTCGCTTCCCTGTCTAGCCCAGTCAGTTGAGTCCAGAACACAAGCCACAGCCTCGGAGATATGAATCATTATATTTCAAACATACTCTATTTATATACTAACCAAGCATACCACATCGTACCATAAAGATAGAAAACAACATTTTGTACAATACTCAACAAGTGAACAGATATCGACCAATAGGAAATGTCCATTTAAAGTCCAAGGACACCATTGGACTTAACATGATAATTATTGGTCTATTCCTCCGCATCCACAACAATTATTCACTAATGTTCCCCTCACAGAGACAATTAATTTTACCTGCAAGTACATAGATAATAATGAGATAAACATCGAAATACCGGGTGTTTATTTGAAGGAACTATTACTAAGTTGCACTTGCAATGTACAGTTCACATTCAACAACGTAATTTATGGACACAGAAGGATGGTGTAGCAATGGGATCCCCACTTGGTCCATAACTGGCAGATTGCTTTGTTGCCAGTTTAAAAAACAACCAACTCAAAACAATTATAGAAAACCTCCACTTGTATAAAAGGTACGTAGATGGTATCTTTATCATTTGTGACAACAAATATGACTTAAGTCATCTCCTAAAGACATTTAATAATTGTCACCTATCAATAAAATTCACACTTGAAGTTGAAAACAAACAAAATATTCACTTTCTTGATATGGAAACGACAAGAAACCAAGACGGTACTTTAAAAAATCTATCTACAGGAAACCCATGTGGAATGGCTAACTATCAATTTTCTTCAGCCGGGTTCACATCAGCCAAAAAAGAAACTTAATAATAACGCTCGCCACAAGAATATGAAGAATCTGTAGCCCCGAAGTTGTAGATAAAGAATTAGGCCTTTTAAACGAGATACTTGTCAAAAACGAGTATCCTCCGATATGCATTGATAAGAACATAAGGCCGAAAACACCAAAAACCCATATAATATAATATACTCTATTGAAATTTGAAATTAATTCACTACAAATAATACTCACTTTTGCAGTTTCACACCTATCGACTACAAGAGAAATTTGGTTAGATGTCTCACTAGCAGAGCTAAAAATATCTGCACAGTAGACACTCTAAATCGGGAGCTTGAATTCATCAACAACTCACTGACCGAGATCGGCTACCCCAGTGCTTTCATTAAGAAGTACATGTATGACATAATAAAGAAGTCGGAGATTTCGACTGTTCATAAGAAATCTTTATACATGAAACTACAATTCAACGGGGATGTGGCTAATGATACTCTGAAATACAGGTTAACGAAAGTAATCACCAGGACATTCTACACAGTCAATCTTGCGTTGACTTTCTCTTGTCGACCAACGATGTGTACGCAAACGAAGGATAAGTTACTTGAGTTGGCCTCCTCAATGTGCATTTACGAATTCAGCTGCTCCTGTGGAAATAGCTATATCGGGCGTACTCCCAGGCAACTTAACCAACGAATAAGTGAACATCTACCAGCTTTGTTTATAAAGGGCCAGATAAAAACAATTCGCAGTTCTATCTTGGCACATCTTATTGATAGCAGTCATGCTGTAGATAAATCTAAATCATTTCGATTGATCTATCGTATACCTCCATCATTTCTTAACGAAGTTCGTTTCGCCTCCTACATATAACTGAAGCCATAAGAATTCGTACATATAACCTCAATTTATGTGTACAGAAGAAATAACATTTACTATAATATTATTTCAACCAATCAGATTATTTGAAATGATAAATATGAAATTGACCAATCAAAACTGAATAATTTAGAGTATGATTTAATGAAATAATAAATAAATATTAATGAAATAAATCATTAGAAAGTATTACGTAATTTAATGTTTTATTATGTTTTTTCCCCCTTAGTTATAGATGATTATCATATTTTGTTTTAATGTCTTAGAAATAAGAATTCTATGTACATATTTTATCAAGAAAGGAAAAAAAACTGTATCCATCCAGTAAAAAAAGGGGTGAAATGAAATTTTAATTACGCTTCATTTCAATTTGTATTCATGAGAAAGTAAAGATTTTACAAGATTTTATTATAAACCAATGAATATGAAATGGAACAATCTAATGTAAATTTAAAACGTAGTTCTGAACTATCTAAAGATGATAATCAAATTGAATTTATACAAGATAATCCATGTTGTGCTTCTTCTTCATCTTCATCTTCTCCTCCTCAAAATATAATATTATCAAAAGAAGAACCAAGTGACTTTAATGATAATTCAATTAAAGGTGATTTAATTATAGATAGTTTACAAATATCTAATTCGAAATTAAATACAATTTCAAATGAAGATGTTCGAAGACAATCAAGTGTACATTCTGAACAAACATTAAATATTGCTCATCATTTATATCCTACAACATCTTTATCTCATACATCATCAGCTTTTTCAAGTTATTTAAGAATTCCATCTATTTATGAACAAATGAATGAAACAGTTGTATCAACACATTCAGCTGATTGGTCAAAATCATTACATAGATCAAGTTGTTTTAATACACCACAAAGTTTAAGTGAAGAAGATCAAAAATTTACACAAGCAACAGTTCGTGCTGTATTAGCTGCTAGTGCTAGAGAATCTCGTACAGCATTAACTGATTTACCATTAGATTTTTTTACAAATAATTCTGATTTATCTAATATTGATAATAAATTAAATTCATTATCAGTTCAACAATTATCTCATAGAAATTTATCTACTGAAAGCGCATTAAATATTCATAGATTAAATTTACCATCATCAAAATTACATGATGAATGTAAAGAACGTCGAACTAATCGAAAATTTAGTGCACTTTATGTTCATAGTTTTGATGATACAATACATGATAGTGTATTATTATTGAAAAGAGATAAATCACCAATTCCTAATACATCATTAAATTCTAATAATATTATACTTAATAGTGCTACTAATCTATCTAATTCTATACAATTACCTCATATACAAACATCAAATAAAAATATTATGATTACTACTAAACAAAATCCGAAATCATTAAAAAATTTAGCTAGACAAACATCACATTCAATAAATAGACCATTAAAACGTTTAGCTGCTAGTTTTCGTTTAACTAAAAATATTAGACATTCTGCATCAGTGAATTATAAACAACATTCTTGTACAAATGTCCCTTTAAAATCTGGTATTGTTTCCAGTTGGAATTCTGTTTCAAATTGTATTGATTCTATACAAAATACTTCAAATACTACTACTACTAATAATAATAACAATGATATCAGTAGTAGTAATAATAATGGGACCAATATACGTACACGTAATGTAATTCTTCAAACAGATCAAGATTTTATTAATGAATTTAAACATGATAAAAGTTTACATAAAGGACATTTATCATTAAATGATTCAATGGATCATGAAACGGATAGTTTATTAAGTCAAGATGATAAACCAGGTGGTAGTTCATTTCATTTAAAAGAACAATTTTTTGCATTTTTTCAACCAACTGGTAATAAATTAGCAATGAAATTATTTGGTACTAAATTAGCATTAGATAGAGAAAGATTAAGACAAGAACAACAAGGTGATTGGATTATACATCCTTGTAGTAATTTTCGGTAAGTTTTTAATTTTTTTTTTTCAAGTTTTCTTCTTACAGTTTATTTATAGAAACCTAACAAAAGTGTGCTTTTATTAGATTGATTGGTAAAGGAGAAGTGTTAAATTGAATAAATAATTTCATACATAACTTTTTCATATTAGTATAGCAACAATATGAAAGTATAGCAACTATCCTACAATCAATTTTCATTATGGTTAATTTAGGTTAAGCCCTTATATTAACTTACTTAACAGACAATATTATTTGAACAGTAACCATTCGTATATTTATTTGGATTGTTATGATCATCAGAGCACATGACAGACTCTAGCCGAAATGTTCATTGCTCAAATATCATTCAATGATTCGTCCTCCACCCCATGTATGTATGTATATACTCAAATCCTATGATTAGTCGTTGTTTTGCCTTACTGTGTTCCCTTATTCAATTTAACTATAAATTTACTTATGTCATTGCTTGTATATACTTATTCGTTTCTCCATTTCAAATTCGTTCGATGTGTTTATAGTTTTATGATCTGTACTATCCGCTAATAAATTGTAATTGATGCGTCTGATTTCAAAAACACTGTTGAGTTCTAGATTCTAACGGGTATTGAGTTGATCAATTCACGAAGTCAACCCACTACAAAGGTTCTCCTGTGTTATAATCTCACCGTAATTGTTCAGTAAATTTATAAATAAATCTTTTACAAAGGAGGAGATGAAATTTTCAAAAAAAATTTCAGAAACGATCATTTAACGATAAATAAATGCATATTAAGATTAATGAGGTCATGTACAGATATTTCAATTATATTCCGAATAGAAAACCTTAAACAATCAGTTAACTACTGAAATCTAATAGGTTACATTACTTCCACTAAGTTGTACTTTTTATTTACACATACTCTTTATTCATTCAGTGTAAACTGTATTCAAAATGATAGGATCATTTTAAGAATACAAAGGATGCTCACATCAGAACATTTGGAAATCGTGACAACAGCCATCGAGTTATCATGCAAACGACATAGAGAACAAAGACACGACCAAACCATCCAGCTCAGAGAAAAAAACTCCACCAAAATCATCCACCTGAGCTACAAATCTCCACCATCTCAAACAGCTTGTCTACATACTCATTATTTTTGTTGTTGTTGTTGTATGGTTATCTAAGAAAGAAAAATCAGTGAACAATAGGCATTCATTATGTTTTAATGTGTATAACTTTAACAGAATAGACCTTCAAGTTTAATGATTCCTAGTTTCCTCTTTTTTTTTTCTTTTCATTATTACTCTAAATTACATGGATTCATGAATAAATTTACAAACTATTCAATTAATGAAATACATAAAGATTTTCTTGTTAAATTCTGATAGTTTTCTTCTTTTTTTTCTTCTTCTTCTCTAGAAACCATTAAATTTACAGGTTGTTTTATTCTTTCTCTATAGGATTATTGAAATTATCAAACTATAATTAGAATTAAAAAGGAAACATAAGTACATAGTGATTTAAGCAAATGGAAATGCCTTCAGTTTCAATTCACTTGATATTGTTTGCTTATTATCTTCCGATTGTTGTTTAGGACTGAAGTTGATTAGTCTTTTGTTGGCATATATATATATCCTGTGCGGATTGCCTCGATATTGATTTCAGTCACAAGCTTCATAAACAAACATGGATAATGGCTAGTAGTGGGATTCGGGACGCACGTTTTGTCTTATTTGAAGCGAATAATACTGGGTTCAAATCTCAGAGAGGATATTAACTTTGAGATTCAGATGCATCTAGTTGACGAGTTGAAAATAGGATGAAATACGCGTATTGGATTCCATTGCTATCTATCATATGTCTTTGTTTATAATGCTTACAGTTTATTTAAAAACTGGTATAACAGTTGTTTTTCCTGAATAAGTTTAATGGTTTTCAACATTGTGTAGGATGTTTTAAAGATGAGAAATAGTTTTTTGTTTTCAAGGTTTAGAAAAATAGTTTTATCTCAACAAAACAAACATACTAATAATATAGAATTTTGTTAAAACGAAAAATGAGACATTTTCATTGCTTTGCAAAGCTGTCAATTTGTTTCATTATTTATGTATTAATCCAATTGATTTGTTAGTTGTCTTTTCTTTTCAAACTTGTAAATGTCTTACAGAATTTAAGCATGAAAATTAAGGATTAAAAGTAATTTTTGTTTGCAAGATTTAAGTATTCAAATTTAGACCTTGTTTAAGAATCTTCAAGATTAAGGCATTGAAATGTCTAAAAAGATAGATACTAGAGTTTAGATCATTTTAGATCAAGTGGTATAAAGATATATTCTCAGAAGGGGTTTGTGGAGATTTTAGAAATTTCGCAGATTGAAATCATGAGTCAATTGAAGCCAAACCTGGAAGCACTGGACGGCCGTCTCATCCTGCCACGGGACTCCTCAGCGGTGCGCACCCAAGATCCCGCACCCCGCGAGATTCGAACCCAGGACCTATCAGACTCGCTCCAGGCGCCTAACCAACTAGACCACTGAGCCGTCATCCAATGGTGTTAATGTCTAACTTCAACCGAAACGGCCGTCCACTGCTTCCAGATTTTCCATGGTGGTCTAGCTTCAATTGACTCATGATTTCAATCTGTGAAAAATATATTCATTTAAACTCGAATCAACATTCTATCTTCAAGTTACACCATACAAGTTATATGGATTGTTTGCTTCTTAAAACTATTTGTTTTTATTAAATCATTGAACATGATAAACCCTTTAAATGAGAATTGGTTAAATGAATGTAGCAGTGAATATATACAGTAAATTCCACATTGAACAATTGTTCCAAACTTCTGTTATGTAGGTTAATTTTTATTGATGTTTTCATGATATCAAATATTATTTCACACTGAATAGTTTTCATGACCATTAACACTAATTGAATTCTATTATTATTATTATCATCATCATTCTTTTTATGTAATATATTGTGTATCAGTAGATTGTCTTTGAGAATGAAGTGAATGGATGTTCTGTAAAAGAAAGAATGGTTACTAATATGGTTATTCGATTCGATTTTTTAATTGGTAAAGGTAATATCTGTAAATGAAACTATAAAACTCTCAGTTATTCTATTGTTGATATTTTAACTGAATTGTCATATGTGGATTCTGTAGCGATCACTTTAATACAGTAATTTTGTCACAAGCTTTTTAGAAGTGTCCTAAATAAAGCGATGAGAAGATGGAATTGATCAGATCAACTTCATAAATGGACTGATTGCTTTAAAGTCTCAGATAAGATGAAACGAGTATCCTGAATTCCACTGCTAAACAAAGACTATCTCTTCAATAAAACTTGTAGTTTATATAGTATTTTTTTAATCTAAATGATACAAGTTAAAATCTAGTCTTTAGTTAAGTGTACACCCAAATTTGTATGTTATAGTTGTACATTCATTTATACATCGCAATGCATGTTCTACCAACAAGTGTAAGATATAGACCTCCAATCAACTGCCCATTAGGATGGAAAATAGCTGAGCAAAGTGCAAGAAAAATGGTACACCTAATGATAACGGATGCACACTACAGGATCCACAAATACCAACACGTAATAGAGGATCAAAAGATGAAGCTGCAAAGAACACTCACGTCAGAACATTTGGAAATCTTGACAACAGCCATCGAGATATCATGCAAACGACACAGAGAACGAAGAAGAAACACCTTAAGGAAAAAAATTGATCAAGATCTTAAAACCACTCATGTAAGAAAACACAAACAACTGCGTGATCAATATGTCAAAGCAAACACTAATAGATTTGTAGTATTACAAACATTATCATCAATTAATTTCGATGAGAAATTATTGTAGTTGAGAAGAACTAATTATCAATATAACGTTGTGGAGATTGTTGAGCTTTTATTCAAATCTTGAACCAATCAGTGTTAGTCTAACATTGAATAGCTGTTTTGTCCTAGTATGGGATTCCTATACAATGCTCATTCACGATTCAACCGTATTGTGTAGGGCAGTTACATGTTGAAGACAATGAAAGATAGTCATGTAAGACCATGGATTGATCGAACCTATACATTAACATTGTTGGATCTCGTCTCAATGGTCTGGCGGTTAAGTGTCTACATGTGAGACCAAAGGTTCTGAAATCGTATTTCACATGCAAAATCGTGAAGTGCACACTGCATAAGAATCCCATACTTGAATAAAATGTCTGTTTCGTGCTCCTAGCTTTTTATTCATTATCTATGAACGACCGGTTCATGATTTACTGAAACATTTATTGATAAATACATTGATTAAACTAAAGATATTCATGATCACAAATTAGTTCAATAAGGTCGTTTTATCCGTTTATACATATTATCATATTTACTGTTCAATGAACTGTGATTTCTGTTTCATTTTTAGGAATGTTTATAAATTTTCTTCACTTTTATTTACTTGAATGTGTTTTTCTGACTTGTTTAGATATGGAGGGAAGTATTGTTACACTATTTTTCCCCATTTTCAAGGTTAAAATGATGTTGATCATTATTATAAAAACAAAGTAACATGTTATTTGAATGAACGTGAAAATGTAAAGGATTAAACGACAATTCTGTGATTTAAAGATTAAATGCTTACAGTGGATCAAAATCTTAAATTCATAATTGTCCAAAGGAATTCATTGCGTGATATAGACTTTTGAATGAATAGAGAAAATATATAGTTCCAGTAAATGAATTTATTAAAATTATGTTCTTTAGTTGCTTACTTACTGACGCCTGTTACTCCTCGTGAAGGAGTATAGGCCGCTCACCAGCGTTTGCCATCCAACCCTGTCCTGGGAAATCCTTTCCAGCTCCTTCCAGTTCCTATTGATCCTTTTCATATCTGCTTTTATTTCCCGACGTATTGTGTTCTTTGGCCTTCCTCTTTTGCGCTTCCCTTCAGGATTCCAAGTTAGAGGGTTTAAATTCTTTCAATAGTTTATATTGACGATGTTGACTAGAAAGACAATATAAAT